CTGGAGGAATCAACAACATTTGATCGACACACATCAAGCACTTGAGAGACAAGTTGGTGGATTGAATGCAAGTGTCAAAGGGCAACCACACATCAAGCACTTGAGAGACAAGTTGGTGGATTGAATGCAAGTGTCAAAGGGCAACTCAATGAGTACATCCAACTGTCTCAAATCCTCAAAAATTCTGGAAAAGCAAATGAAGCAATTGTCGTGAATCAAAGTCAAGGGATTCTCAATGTGGTTCATCAACATGAGAAGCAAATTAGTGATGTCCACACAGATCTCATCTCCATCAATACCAAAGTGGGCTGCCTTCGAGGTTCATATGAAAACATATCCGAATCTGTTTCATCTCTTCGTGAGTCAGTTTATACACTCATTGATTACGCCAAAAAGGGGGAAGAGAGATTCAGTCATTTGGAAGGCATGCTTGAAATGATGATGACTGCCATGGCTACCAGAAATGTTGGTACAAGCAGTAGTAGAGGAGGAGGAGGCAGATCTGCTGGCAGAAATGTTGCTAGAAGAGGAGCATTGGAATATTGGTTCGGTGGTGGTGAGGCTGGCAGTCCAGGAGGATCAAGCAGTGCAAATACCACTAACCGTTCATTTCGTGATATTGTTTGTGCATGTGGAAATGTTGAGCAAATCAATTGGTACAACAAAGCAGCTCTATATTTGGAATCCACACCAAGAGATGGTAGAGTTGAAATGCCAAGATTGGCAAGCTTGAATGACCTACCAAAGGGAATGAAGAAAAGTGGTCCAAGTGACCAAAATTTGTGGGTTTCGAATGAGAACTTCAGGAGGATCAAAAGCTATGCAAGAGCTTTGATGATCATGGTTCTAAAGGACTATATCAAAGTCAATGATGCCGAGCTACAAAGTGGAAGAAGTCTAGAAGAGTGCATCATTTGGTATGAAGAAGGAATACTGCCCGGGGACAACATCATTGAAGCATTCAAATATTATGTGATTGGGCAGGTATGCAACAATTATGCCATTAGTGACAATTTCATTGAAGTTCAAAATCATATAAATCATGTGCTTGAAGAAAGGAGAAACAGAATCATCATGTGATTTGTATGATTGTCACATGTTTTTGGTGTATGGTCCACGAACTTGAACTCATGATCATGGAACAATTTGAAATGGTTCGAATTATCTGTTTATGATGCTATTAAGCTTTCCCTGTTATCTATTGTTATTTTATTTATCTTGAAAGGTAACATTTTAGCTTAGATTGTATCAAATCGCATAAATTGGAAAAAGTACAAAATTCATTATCATTAAACTCCAAAAATGCGAATAGAAATTTAGTTGCTAAAAATAACTTTCCTAAAGTCAAAATCAAATGTTAAACTCGTCTTGGCTATGTCAAAATTAATAAAATCTTTTGAAAAATAATTGTTTTTAAAAGACAAGCCAAATGACTGAGTATAGGTTTTGGCGTCATCAAAAAGGGGGAAAATTGATAGGAATATTTTTGTAAGTTTTGATGAGCCAAATGTACTTTAGATCCCCTTGGTTTTTAGGTCTTTTAGTACAAGCATCATAAATCAGAATATCGAGTCAAAAAGAATCTACCATAGGAAGAACAAAATTAATTTGAGAAATTAATTTTGGTCCTACGAGTATTCATCCGAGAACGAAGCATAAAGGAATGGCGTTGCAAGGATTAACCGGATGAACCTAACGGCGAAATGGTAAAAGTCTTTACTTAAAACGATTACACCCAAGATCAATTCCCTCCCCCTCAAGGATTTAATTTTTACAAGTCAAGTTTTCGGACAAGCACAATGTTCCTAAAGGAGCACGATGCGGACAAGCACAATGTTCCAAAAGAGCACAATGTCCTTAAGGAGCACAATGTGTACAAGCGAGATGTGCCCAAGGAGCACAATGTCTGAAAAGGAGCACAATGTTCTGAAAAGGAGCACAATGTTCTGAAAAGGAGCACAATGTTCTGAAAAGGAGCACAATGTTCTAAAAGAGCACAATGTGAACAAGCACGATGTGTTCAAAGGAGCACAATGTGACCAAATCAGAAAGAGCACAATGTTCAAGTCAAACAAGCCAAGTCAAAGGAGCACAATGTGGCAAAGAAGCAAGATGTTCAGAAAATGAATAAATTCGAAGGAATTTATTTTGGATCAGCCCACATGCCACAAGAGTCCAAAATTGCCTGAAGATATTTGATCAGAACGGAAAAATATTTATGAAGACATGAATATAAAAACTTATCCTAGAAATAAATTCTATCAGATGAATTTATTTCAAAGATTCGTTGGATATTCAAATTGAATATTTTAAGAAACAACTTGACAATCAAGTTGAGATAAAATATTATTTTGTCAGGCAAGTTGACAATCAAATCAAAATTGAAGATCTACTATTGTCAACAATATCAAGCTATGAAGATTCAAATTTCAAATATCAAATTATCCCACTCCAACGGATATATTTGATTGCCTATAAAAAGCCATGAAGACTTGAAGATACAAGGCAGAGGTGCAATACACACGGATAAACAAAGTGCAAAATTCAAAAGTGCAAGTGCTCAAATATTCTTAGAGACTTAGTCTGAATAGTCTCAAATCTAGTTGGAGAGAGATACAATTACCTTTGTATTTGTAATTGTAGAAAGAGTATAGCTGTGTGCAAAATACTCTAGTGACTGTAGCTGTGTGCAAAACACTCGTAGTTGCTAAGTGTAGCTATGTGCAAGACACTTAGTTGGAGTTGAGTATAGCTGTGTGCGAAATACTCGGAGTTGAGTGTAGCTGTGTGCGAAACACTCGGAGTTAGGTGTAGCTGTGTGCAAGACATCCGGAAGAAGTGCTTGTGTAGCGCTTATTCACTATTGTAACTGTGTGTGGAAAATAGTAAATTACTCCTAGAAGTGATTGGAGTAAAGTGGACTAGGAAGATTACGCCACTTCCGAACCACTATAAATTGCCTCTCTCATTTACATACCGCACTTACATAATTTGCTCTATTTATCTATTTTATCCGACTAATCCGTTTACTATTCACAGTTAATCACAACCGTTCGGGTTTAGTGTGTTTTCACGTATGCATGTGACTCAAACTTTTCGAGCTTAAATATTGGATTATTCTAAGAAAGTTTGACGTGTTGCATGTAACGTTCGTTACACGATCGACGTGACGCGATATTTATTTACAATCTTGAATATTATTATTATATATTGAGTGCACCATCTCCTTTATATATTCAAGATATTCCTGTCACTTTACATATCATCTGTACCCATCTTACATGCGCATTTAAATTATTGGTCGGGCATAACTCTTTACATACTATTATTCCGCTGTGCAGTTTTAAACTTACTCTATTTACTTGTTACTTAGAGTTGAAGTTACCAAAGATTTATTTATTTTGAAAAAGCTTGAAAGTCTATTCACCCCCCCCCCCCCTCTAGACTTTCACCACCCTATCGTGACCAACAGAAAGCATCGACTTTTATTTCTTCTTCTTGAAGCTTGGTAATACTCTCTTCTAGTACTCTCTTAACAAAAGCCTGGGAAGTAGTGTCTTCACAACCTGAACTTTTTGATTGCAATGCTATTTTGTTATATTCTGAAGCTGTCTTGAAGTGAAGAAGCATCCTTAAACTACAAAAAATAAAGAAAAAAATGTATAAGTACCAGTAATGGTTTAGAAGGTGAACAATATAGAATATACATCAACGAAAGGATGTCAACTAGATATAGAGGTTATTTCTGAGTCAGTATCATTTCCTATTGCTGCAGAAGACAAAGAAAAGTTTTTTCTTTTTTTTGGGTGAAAAAGGGACAACAGAAATGAAAGAATTGTATGAAACTTCTAATAAGAAAGTCAGTAACACCTGTTTATATTTGGGGCATTGGCACCCCCATCAGGCTGATCAGGAAGATCAAGACTTTGCAGTTTAGGACATTTGTTGTCAATTTCTTCACCATGAGCTTTCACACTTGCAATATAACCACAGTGCCTTACATTTACAACACCTAAGGTAGCTACATCCTGCATTATAAATGAGCCAAGTGTTAGCTCTAAAGCTAGTAAGCACACATTACACAAATGCCAACATCAAATTGCTCATCAGAAAATGAGGGTAAAAATATAGGATAGTGCACACTCAAGATCGAGGATAACTGTCTGCATCCTCAAGTGCTAGGAGCTTAGGAGTGAATTCATCTGTCAATGATTCTCATGCAGTTTTAGACATGAAAAGGCGAAATGGTGCCATAAGTTGTAAGGTAATAGCGTTATTCAACTTCCCCGAACCAGGTACCATACCAATCATTCAAATTTCTAAATACCTTTACCTGCTAATGATATATGAACTAAAATGCTTGGATAAAGGGAAGTTCTCCCAATATATGGAGTAATCTTACAATAAGTTATGTTCAAATATTTACTCGAGCTGGTCCTGAGCCTCAACAAAAGGCCAGATTGGAAGGAATGGAAAAACAAAAATGGCTAATAGAACAGAAACCATTGGGTAAAACTCACAGAGCTTATAAGGCTCAGAACATTCAGTATATGCAAAAGCTAACCAACAAGTTCATAATAAAACACTGAACTATAAAGACATTAACAATATTTGTGATTTGTCCACCTCACTCAACAAGCAATCAGATTTCTGGTTCCTCGTTCACATTGATGTGAACACCATCCGACCTTTACTTGTCAATGTCTACTCTAGTGCAAACCACTGAAATATTAGTTTCACCAATCTTTTAACAAATCAATTCGTCAAAGTCTTTACTTCAAGAATGGACAAGGATGTATTAAGAATGTATGTTTGTATTAGAAACACACAGAACTTGGGCCAATCATACTTTCAGTCCATCTCCCAACACTCACAACCTTGTTGCTTTGAATCCAAGAATACATTTCTAAATTCTTACTAAGTAAATATAATACAGCACCTATAACCAAGGGAATAAGGCATTCGGGTTCAGTTGCTTGTGTAGATTCATCAATGAGCACCTATAAACATGATCAAGAAAAGTATATCACAAACAACATAAAAACAGAACCATTGGTTCACACAACCTGCTGAGCATTAAGGAAAGAAAAATATGAGCAATAGAATATAATACTAATATGAGCAAAATAACAATATAATAAGTAGTGATTGAAATGAAAAAATAAAACAGGAATCAATACAACCTTGTGACGACAGATTTGGTGAAGAAATCAGCAAACTGAGAATCATATCATGAGAGTGCAGTGCTTCATGAACTGCATATCAATCGAAACAATCTCTCCCCCACAACAAAGCATTTGACAAGCAGCGATAAACACAGGCAGTAATAAAATACTTATGCATGTGCTATATATAAAAAAGAGCAGAACAACAAAATAAATACTTATGTGTGTAACACCCCGTGTTACGACCCCTAAGATCAATTAAATCATTTAATCAATTACCCAAAAGAGAGGATTAAATCACAATAATTAATTAGGAAAGGCCCACCATAGTCCACGGGCCCTTATCCCTAAACCCAATCCTTAGTCCCAAAAGAAATAGAACTAGCAAGCCCATAATATTAGTTCCTAACTAGGACTTCTAATTATATAAATAGGGGACTTATGAGGCACCTAGAAACCCCCCACCACAGGAATAACGCCCACCACCCCAAAGAGCTCCAAGAACCCCCCTAGAAGAAATCAAGAAAGCAAGAAAGCTTAAAGAGAGACCCTTCATAACCAAGGAATTAATTAAGGCTAAGAGGTAACCCATGTCTCAACAAAACCTATTTTCATAGTTATGATTTCCCCCGTAGGATTTCCCCATATTATTGTGTATTGATGTTTTATGATATTATTATTGATGATTGATGGGATAATTCCATGGGTGATCTTGATATTGGGAGATTCTTGATAACTATGGTGTTCTTAACGATTACGTGGAGTTCTTGATGATTATATGGTGTTCTTGATAATTGTATGACGTTCTTGATGCTTATGTGTTATTTATACCGAATCTTGTAAATTAGAAGGCGAACCGTATTCTTGTTGTTATAAAAGTAATTAGAACCCTAGGTTATATCGTGGAATTCGTATGGTATTATTCTTGGTATATTGGGTGGGATTTCACATGATTGGGGGTTTATAGGGTCTAGAAAAGCATGATAGGTTATGTGTCGTTTGATTCTTGATTTTGATCCGTTAAATCGTCTACGTGTGTTGCCAATTGCGTTTAAAAGTGTCCAAGCATGGTCTCGGGTTCCACGAAGGTTCCCGGGGCGTTTTTGGTGTTAATGAGTCAGTGGGGGGTAGGTGGGGGTAGGGGACCCGCCACCTACCCGCGGTCAAAAGAGGGCAGTTCCGGCAGCGGGCGGGCAGCTGCCCGCCGGCGACCCGCTGCCCAGAACAGTGTTACCGGCGGGCAGCCGGCGGGTGGCCCCCCACCCACCGGCTACCCGCTGGAAATTCCCACACTTGGGACCCCGACTTCCCCGTTTGATGTTTCCCCGACCCCCGTGGTGTCCCAACGGACTCCGTCTATCGTGCCTATGTCTAGTTTGATGTTTCGGGTACCGTTCGTAGGTTGTATGAGTCTTATATATTGCATGCTAGTTGAATTGGTATCCTGCTGACCTAGGTGAAAGGAGTATGAACCCCTTAGGACCATTCTTAGTATGTGAAGGATCACGCATAGGTTTTGTTATACGTTTTCTCCCCCTTCCCAATGTGTTAATGTGGGTTGCATGTGCTTGCTATGTGTTATGTGTGCATTTCACCCCGATTTGGTTGAGATCAATCGGGCTATACGGGCAGTCGGGTGGGCTGAGAACCATACCGGCTATTAACCAGGCTGGTAGAGACCGGTCAGGTATATAAATATTATATAGGACTAAGTTCCACTATACGGGCAGTCGGATGGGCTGAGAACCATACCGGCTATTAACCAGGCTGGTAAAGACCGGTCAGGTATATAAATATTATATAGGACAAAGGTCCACTATACGGGCAGTTGAATGGGTTGAGAACCATCCCAACTGTTAACCAGGCTGGTAAAGACCGGTCAGGTATATAAATGTTATATAGAACTGCGGTTCATTAGTCGGTTGCGATCGACTCCTCCGTAAGGTGAGACGGGGCAGGGTGCTGCGGGGCCGTGTCAGCGCTATATGCGCTGACCCTCATGTATGGGCATGCGATTGGTCCTGTGGCGCCAACAAAGTGTGCTATGTGATGAGATACGGATGAGTTGTGTTTATGAGTATATTCGGGGATGTGACTATGGGATTTATGCTGGGGATTGTTTATGTTGGGTTATGATTATTAATCGTGCTCAGCTTTATTTGTCCTGCCTGTTGTGGATTGTATACGCTTGTTATAACTGTTGCTTGTGTCTAGCCTATCTGTCGAGTCATTCCCGGTTTTAAAAGCTAGAGTCTCGTAGGATATATCTTCATGCTTTAAAATGGTTTTCGTATATCTATCTCTATATGTATTGTATTTCAACGCGTTGGAGTGGGTTACCAGCATCTCTCGCTGAACAGATATATTTGGCTTTCAGGCACAGACGAGTAGTTCACTGGAGCGCGTTAGAAGCTTGGACGTAGCTTAGATAGTTTTTTCCTTTCGGCCTGCGTGCCATGATTTAGTACTGATACTATTTGAGGATATTAGACAGTTAGCCTGTGCACCTGAGTTCTCTAGCTCAGGTGTGGCATAGCACCCCATACTCTTGTACTATGTTTTGGGATTCAACGAGATTTCACCTTTATTTTATAAGTTTTAAATATCCTGAAAATCTGGGGTGTTACAGTTGGTATCAGAGCCTAAGTTTGACCCTAGGATAAGACTCTTAAGACTGGACTTTAGGACAATAGGCTCGAACTCTAAGTATCTAGGAACATAAGATTCAGGAATCTTAGGACACGCGGTGAGATTGTGAAACCTACACATAACCTCCCTTACCTGGAGAAAAACTTTCCCCTAAGAAGGACCCCAAGCCCCAATTTAACGCTCTTATAAACATTGACCCAGGAAGACGACAACATGGCACCCAACAGAAGACAATCAAGGACTCCGGAACCCGCCACGCACGACCCCCTAACCCAAACGCTACAACAACTAACACAAGTCGCCCAAGCACTAAGCGACGTGGCTCTCCGCAACGCCAGGCCCCCACCACCTCCGGCGAACGCAAACGCAGACTTCGCCCGACAAGTCTCTAACCACCGACCACCCATGTTCTCAGGAGAAGAGGATCCCGTAATCCTGGAAGAATGGATCCGAACCCTTGACAAAATTCTCGGGTTAGTAGAATGCCCAGAAGAACGCCGCGTGGAGATAGCCTCGTTCTACTTCGGACACGAGGCCGATCTCTGGTGGATCCACGAGGGTCCCACTTACCAACAAGAACCAGGGTTCAACTGGGAACAACTCAAAACGCAACTACGAGAGAGATTCTATCCAACACACGTGAGAGCCTCCATGTACGAAGAGTTTCTCCATCTAAAACAAGGGACAACTACCGTTATGGAATACCACAAACGATTCCTTGAACTAGCACGCTTCGCACCCGAACTAGTCCCCACCGAGGTAACCAAAATAGAGAGATTCGTATTGGGCCTCAACTTTGAAGCCCGAAAAGCACTAGTGGTAAGCAGACCTCGGACTCTCAACGAGGCTTACTCCAGTGCCGCTAATCTCTACCGAATCCAACTACTCCAACGCGGGGTTCAGGAGCAAATGCGAAAGAGGAACCCCGGAGGAGGGGCACCACCAGTAAAAAGGACAAGAAGCGACGCCAACACAAGACCAAGTAACATGACCAACCAAAGGCCACCTCCGTGGAACAACGACGCTAGCGCCAGGAGCTTTCCTTGCCCGAAATGCAACAAGAACCATAGAGGCAAGGATTGCATGGGCAAACCCTTGCGATGCTTCAACTGCGGAGAGGAAGGACACAAGGCCTTCCTTTGCACCCAACCCCAAAGACCACGCACTGCCACCATGGGACAACATGGGGGCACCGCTCATCAAGGAAACTACGACGCTCCCCGAAAAATATTCGTCATGAGCCGCACTCAAGCCGACCTCGGGAACGAGAGCAATCTCGAGGAAGGAAACCCAAGCCCAGAAGACGAGGACCCCGCAAGCCCCGTGGGAGAAAGCCAAGAAGACGAATTCTGTCTAGGTTAGGTTGGCAATTTCTTGTAATAACCCTCGTGGTAGAACTACTTATTTAGCTTAATTATTTCGAAGATATTATAAATAAAAGATCAGTTCAAAATTCGGTCTTATTTACGGGGGGGGGGGGGGGGGGGGGGGTAGAACTAAAACTATGCAAACTAGCCAAATCTCACCACTAGAAGACAAAAGAAGGAAAAAGACAAGGGCCCCATCATCATAGGGCCTAGTGTTGCCAATGAGAATTGAACTCTTAACCTTCCACTTAAGGGACAAAACTCTAACCACTAGCCCATGAGTGTTTCTTGAAACTTTAAGGGAACACTCCCTTGTTAAAGCCCCTACAATCCCTAAAACCCCACAAAATCCCCAAATCAAAAACACTTCTTCTTCTTCCCTTTCTCCTTCTTCTTCTCCACTCCCTTCCCTACTTTCCCTCACACCCCTCGCCGCACCCCACCGGAGGAACCCCCCAACCGCTCGACGTCCCCACCAAGCCTAACGCTGCCGCCGGTCAACCTTTCCCCGCCGGTCCCACGCCGCCGCACCAGCACCCCGCCACCTTCACCCGGCGAACACCCAGCCGCCGCTCTTCGCCCAAGCACCCGTCACCACCCCTCGCCGAGCCACCTCCTCCCCTCGCCAGGCCACCACCGGAGCATAGCTCACCGCCGCCCACCTTGCCGCACGAAAAAAAAAAAAAAAAAAAAAAAAAACGCACTACCGGAGCCCCCACCGGAAAAGTCGCCGGAAAAGCCACACCACCGGAGCACTCGCCTGAAAACGCCACTTGAAAGGAAAAGAAAATGCCGAAAAAGCCCCTCGGAACCCGCACCCCGGAATGGAGCAACACCGATTACACCGTGATCGGAGGTAAAGCCCCTGACATGCTTAAACACCAAGGGCTTTTGGATACGTACCTCACCATCAAGGGGGATACGTACCCCGAATTGGTGAAAGAATTCTACCAACACCTTGTGGCCACCAAACGGGGTGACAAGGTAGAAGTCACCACCAAGGTCCGTGGCAAGGAAATTGTGCTTTCCGAGGGCCGTTTGGCCAAACTCTTGAAATTGACCACCACGGGTGTGTCAAACTACGACCGAAAGGGGTGGATCGATACCCAACACACGGGGTACAAGGACTACCTCGGGTACCTACTCGGGAAAGAGGACGGGTTCACCTCGGCCACGCGACCCAACCAGAAGTGGCTATCGGCGGAGCAAAAGATATTGGTTATGATTGTAACCGATAGCCTCTTGCCCACCAATAATAAGAGCAAGGACGTAGGGAGCTTAGAATGCACCTTTGCCTATCTACTGAAACATCAAATCAAGTTCAACATGCCGGCACTCATGCTGAAACACATGGAGTTTTGCAAGACAAACAATCGTCTTAGCCTACCCTACGGGATGATCCTAACTTGGATCATGGAGAAAAAGGGGGTGGACCTAAGCCACACCGAGGTAAAGACCGCAAATGGCATGGTCTTTAACGCCCAAAACCTACGCCGCAATGACATCTACTACACCGAGGGAGGACATTACCTCACCCTCGAAGAAATCTGCCAAAAACCCGAGGATGAACGAACATAATTGGTCGACCAACTAGACATCTCCAACAAAAAGCTCAAACGGGCTATGCAAGATTGCGGAGTTCTAGAGGGAAATGAGGATCAGGAGGAGGATGACGAGCCCAATCCAACAGTGCAACCACGATCAGGAGGAAATCCAAGGGAACAAAACGAGGGCTCAATCAATGAACGCATACTCGCACAGCTCAACCGGCAAAACCAAATCATGGAGGAAGGATTCTCATCCTTGATCCGTACGACACGCACACTCGATCAGAGGGTGGCGGCGATCGAGACCACCTTGGGCACTCGCGGGGCATCCAGCTCAAGAGCAGGAAACCAAGGTAAACCTAAAACCCTTCTATCACAACACCACCAGGAATCCAGTCTACCGCAGCTAAGGCAAAACGTGGGGCCACATTCCTAACCAGGAGGCCAAGATGCGGGATGCCTAGGGGTGAAAGAGTGGATTGACACACCGGGCTTCGGGGACGAAGCCCCCCGTAAGGGGGGGAGAGTGTAACACCCCGTGTTACGACCCCTAAGATCAATTAAATCATTTAATCAATTACCCAAAAGAGAGGATTAAATCACAATAATTAATTAGGAAAGGCCCACCATAGTCCACGGGCCCTTATCCCTAAACCCAATCCTTAGTCCCAAAAGAAATAGAACTAGCAAGCCCATAATATTAGTTCCTAACTAGGACTTCTAATTATATAAATAGGGGACTTATGAGGCACCTAGAAACCCCCCACCACAGGAATAACGCCCACCACCCCAAAGAGCTCCAAGAACCCCCTAGAAGAAATCAAGAAAGCAAGAAAGCTTAAAGAGAGACCCTTCATAACCAAGGAATTAATTAAGGCTAAGAGGTAACCCATGTCTCAACAAAACCTATTTTCATAGTTATGATTTCCCCCGTAGGATTTCCCCATATTATTGTGTATTGATGTTTTATGATATTATTATTGATGATTGATGGGATAATTCCATGGGTGATCTTGATATTGGGAGATTCTTGATAACTATGGTGTTCTTAACAATTACGTGGAGTTCTTGATGATTATATGGTGTTCTTGATAATTGTATGACGTTCTTGATGCTTATGTGTTATTTATACCGAATCTTGTAAATTAGAAGGCGAACCGTATTCTTGTTGTTATAAAAGTAATTAGAACCCTAGGTTATATCGTGGAATTCGTATGGTATTATTCTTGGTATATTGGGTGGGATTTTACATGATTGGGGGTTTATAGGGTCTAGAAAAGCATGATAGGTTATGTGCCGTTTGATTCTTGATTTTGATCCGTTAAATCGTCTACGTGTGTTGTCAATTGCGTTTAAAAGTGTCCAAGCATGGTCTCGGGTTCCACGAAGGTTCCCGGGGCGTTTTTGGTGTTAATGAGTCAGTGGGGGGTAGGTGGGGGTAGGGGACCCGCCACCTACCCGCGGTCAAAAGAGGGCAGTTCCGGCAGCGGGCAGCCGGCGAGCGGGCAGCTGCCCGCCGGCGACCCGCTGCCCGGAACAGTGTTACCGGCGGGCAACCGGCGGGTGGCCCCCCACCCACCGGCTACCCGCTGGAAATTCCCACACTTGGGACCCCGACTTCCCCGTTTGATGTTTCCCCGACCCCCGTGGTGTCCCAACGGACTCCGTCTATCGTGCCTATGTCTAGTTTGATGTTTCGGGTACCGTTCGTAGGTTGTATGAGTCTTATATATTGCATGCTAGTTGAATTGGTATCCCGCTGACCTAGGTGAAAGGAGTATGAACCCCTTAGGACCATTCTTAGTATGTGAAGGATCACGCATAGGTTTTGTTATACGTTTTCTCCCCCTTCCCAATGTGTTAATGTGGGTTGCATGTGCTTGCTATGTGTTATGTGTGCATGTCACCCCGATTTGGTTGAGATTTCACCTTTATTTTATAAGTTTTAAATATCCTGAAAATCTAGGGTGTTACAATGTGTGTGTATCAAGTAGGTAGTTACCTCTGTAACTATCAAGTAGGTAGTTACCTCTATAACTTAATGGAGTGTCAACTACAACCACTTCCAGCATTAATCTTCAAAAGCCAAACAATTAGCATGCCTATTGATCTAATATCAACGACACTTACCACATAAAATATTGCTAGTGAAGCCACACTAACAAAACATCATATTTTTCAGTTTTTATCATATCCATGCACAAATAACATAAATAACATGTACCAATACTCACATCAGGCCATTTATGAAAGATTTATATGAGAAAATGAGAAATTACCAAAAACTTAGCAAGTCATAGAACAGGTTTTGAAGTTTAACAACATTACATATTCCATTGATTCAACAAGCCTCATTATATGTGGTTCTTCCCTTTCTTTCCACCTTTTTCGCACACTAGAAAGGCAAGGAAGGATATTAATCTTCATGAAGCTATTAATCAAAGTCATTTTGGAGACCTTGGAATCACCAGCGCCGGTGGAGGATATGAGCTTGGATTCGAGGAGCTTAAGGATGCCATCGCAGATTTTGGAGAGCTCATTCTCGATCTTGGATCTGTAGTCGCGAATAGCGTTGACGTGGTCCTTGTTTCCCCTCGTTGAGAGGCACTAAAAAAATTTAAAGGATGTACCTTGCGGCGACCGAGGAGAATGGTGGCGACCGGCGAGCTTGCGGCAATGGGCGACGGCGAGACCGGCGGCAACCAGCGAACGACGATGGTAGAAGAGAATAGCAACATCGGACTCGGAGAATAGAGAAAGAGAAGAAGGCAGAGGTGGTAGGTGTTAATACATGTTATATTATATAGTTTTATATTTCTTTATTTGTGTGGTTTAGTTTGTGTTGACCTGAGCTCTCTATTAGTTAGGAGAGTCTCACGTTAACTTACCTTTTATCTGATTGTATTTGCGTTCAGTTACAACTAATCAAAAGATTTGAATTCTCATTTGGTATCAGATAGGGTAGATCCTCTTTCTCTCTCCCCACCTCAAACCACCACCGTCACGGCCAACATGTCTTCGCATTCATCAGAGAGAACCGTCACAGCCGGTGGCTCCCCGTCGCCGGCGACCGGCGTCTCTCTCGCCGGAGCTCATCATCACGTCTCCATGAAGCTCAACAGCCGGAACTTCCTGTTTTGGCGTACTCAGCTTGTCCCATTCCTCCGGGGGCAGGATCTACTGGGCTATGTCGACGGATCGATGCCGTGTCCATCGCCAACAGTCGCGGCTACCGCTTCCGGCGAGTCGGGCTCCGGTGCGACAACGAATGCGGTCGTTCCCAACCCCGCGTATAAGGCCTGGGTCTTGCAAGACCAGTCCATTCTCTCCATGCTGATCTCCTCCATGTCCGACGAGGTTCTCCACTTGGCAGTCGGACGGGAGACAGCGGCGACGGTGTGGCAGTCGATCACTTCATCGCTTGGTTCATCCACCGAAGCGAGATGTCTCAGCCTCTTAGGCCAATTCCAGACGCTGAGACAAGGCAACCAGTCGACGGCCGAGTATCTGGGACGCGCGGAGGTTCTCGTCGAAGCGTTGGCGCAAGCCGGACGGCCGCTGTCATCCACCGAGCAGAACCTCTATGTTCTGCGCGGTTTGCGTCAAGACCTGAGAGTCTTAGCCGCTTCATTAACCGCCACCAACAGAGCTGTGTCTCTACCGCAACTGGCCGACTTCTTGACTGCTCAGGAATTCATCATCTCTGATGATTATTCGACCGGGGCAGACGGCAGTGGCGGCCACCCTCCGGCGGCTTTATATGCTGGGCGTGGTCGTGGATCCAGCGGAGATGGCGGGCGGAATTCCTCGGGTCAACAGTGGCGTGGTGGACGGAGCAGCAACGGCGGTAGGAACAATCGGGGTCGAGGTGGCCGGAATAATCGTGGTGTTCCACGATTCCAGATCTGCCGTGCTCAAGGCCACACGGCGGTGTACTGCTACAAGCGATACACGACACAACCGCCGGCAGAAGCCCATGTTGCCACCGCCGGCGAGACTCCGGTGACTCCCGCGGCTACGTCGGCGACGGATGGTACCCGGACACCGGTGCTACCGCGCACGCTACGCCGGACGCAAGCATGATGTCCCGCTCGGATGAGTACAATGGTCCAGATGTGCTACGAGTCGGGAACGGCGCAGGTTTGGCTATCACCCGTGTCGGTCATGCATCGATCCCGTTCGTGTCAAAATGTTTAAATCTATCTAATGTGTTATATGTTCCGCGTCTGTCGGTCCCCTTACTTTCTGTACAAAAATTTACAAAAGAAAATGGTGTTTATTTTGAATTTCATAATGATTGTTTTATTGTGAAGGATTCCAACACCAGGGACATTCTGCTTAAGGGACTGACTTCCGGGGGATTATACAAGCTTCCGTTGTCAAACACTTCGTTTGCGTTCGTCAGTTCCCGGGCCACATCAGATGTTTGGCACCGCAGGCTAGGTCACCCGCATGGGGTTGTTCAGAAACACATTCTAAAAGAGTGTCCAGTTTCGTCGAATAAGTCAAAATCCGCGGAGTCCTGTACGGCTTGTCACCTCGGTAAGTCGTCTCGGTTCAAGTTAGATAGGAATCCTAAATCTAGCTTGAATGTTTTAGACTTAATTTTTACTGATGTATGAGGCCCCGCTCCAGTAGTTTCTTCTAGTGGTAATCGCTACTTTTTATTGTTTGTAGACGATTACTCCCGGTACTGTTGGTTTTATCCGTTACGGGTAAAATCTGATGTTTATAAAATGTTTGAATTGTTTCAGGTGTTGGTAGAGCGGCAATTCTCGCGCTCTATCAAATCTGTCCAGTCGGATTTAGGGGGTGAATTCAGAAAATTACACACAATATTCCAAACTTTGGGTATCCAACATCGGCAGTCATGTGCGTACACACATGAACAAAACGAGCGAGTGGAGCGCCGCAACAGGCACATCGTCGAAACGGGTCTTGCTCTACTCGCTGAAGGCTCAGTACCACTTGATTACTGGGACTTCGCCTTCGAAACTGCCACATGCCTAATAAACTATCTCCCTACTCCTGTGTTAAACTTTGATAGTCCTCACTCTCGCCTACACAAAGTGTCTCCTCCATACACGTTTCTTCGAATTTTCGGGTGCCTGTGTTATCCCTACCTTAGGCCATATAATCGGCACAAGGTGGAATACTGCTCAGCACCCTGTGTCTTCCTTGGCTACCCCCCCCCCCCCCCCGTCTTTTAGGGGATATAGATGCATGGACCGTACAACTGGAAAGGTGTATATCTGTCGCCACGTTCGGTTCGACGAGACGGTGTTCCCTTTTAAAGTTAGATCACCCGTCTCGTCTACACCGCCTGCCTCATTGCCGTGGGCATCCGGGCCCATAGTCACACGACTTGCCCCGATAGCCCCAACAACCAGCATCATACCGGTGCAAGAGGTTGAACCCGTGCCCTTAGCGTGTGAACCCCCGCCTCAAGCTGTCACGGCACCACCTCGTGCCCGAACAAAAAGGCGAAGTACCGAGCCCCAAGACCGTGGTCATGTGATGCGTCTTCGTCATCAGACTCGGGGCACGGATGAGCAGGTGAGCATCTAGCCATTAATGTGCAATCCAACTATCAGCTTAGGCTTTTAGTTGAGATGGAGCACATGCTTCAATTTGGTATCAGAGCCAGACCAAAGGTTAAGGGTTCGAATCTCAACGTCACTCATAAGCGATAACGGTTTACCGGTCCACGTGTTGCTTGGAACCCACCGCACACGTAAGGGGACCTGTGAGCATCTAGCCATTAATATGCAATCCAACTATCAGCTTAGGCTTTTAGTTGAGGACTATGATTCTATTATCGCATTTATTATCAGCGTCCAAAGTGTGAGACCTTGGGACGCTGATAATTTTTCTAAAAACGCGGTGTGACAACTCGCGTCCAAAGTTTGATAACTTTGGACGCAGGTTGTCTTTAATTTAAAAAAAAAATAGTAACATTTAAATTACAAAAATTACACCGCCCTTCATTTTAGGCGTCCAAAGTTTAAACTTTGGACGCGAATTGTTAGATTTTTTTGATCTTTTCTGTACTAGTGGAAGTAATACGAATATTCCGCAATGCAGTAAGTTTTTGATGTTTAAACTGTTAATTTTAACTATATTTGTGTCTATATGTGTAGTTTATATGTGTTTAAGTTCGAATGGTGCTTTTGTGATGTTAGCATTGTTCGAATGGTGCTTTTGTGATTTTAGTAGTGTTGGTATGGTGCTTTTATGCATTGTGTTTATATAAAGTATATTATGAAGTATTTATGCACTATTAATTTTAACTATATTTGTGTCTATATTCACCTAACCTTAAACGAATTTTAGGTCATTAGTTTAGGTAAATGAAAAGACCATTATACCCTTATGAAAAAGGAGAAAAAAAATTCTGGTGAAAAGTTGACGGAGAGTTCGCCAGAATGGCTATTTTTGCTAAGAAAGTATTAGTCGTAGACCAATTCTGTAAGTTTTAAAAGTCGTGGATCAAAGTTATTAGTGACACCATAGTCGTGGGACCAAAACTGCAAAAAACTCAGTTTTGTTGCAACAGTATTGGTGTTGTTCTGTCCAAAATTTGTTGCCAATTTTGAGTTCTAAATTGTTTTTGAAGTCACATTGGTTCAGGAAGGTAATGCCACTTTTGATTATTGATTTAACAGGCTTTTTTGTTGGATGTAATTTCGTTGTAATTGAATTGAAATTCAGTAAAACTTTAAATTACATTGTTTGGTTGGAGGGAATTGCAATTTCACGGAATTGCAATTCCCTCCTTTTGTTGAATTGCAATTCATGGGGTACCCCATGAATTGCAATTCAATGAATTTGAGAAAGAAAAACTTGATCAAATGACATCACTACCCTTGATTTTTATTACTATATTATTATTATTGCATAAGGGTATTTTAGTCTTTATACTACTTCTTTCCTTCTCAATTCCAATAATTCTATTTCTCTCTACCAAACAACATAATTTGAATTCTTACTTTATTCCCACCTTATTCTTTTCCAGCGAATTACAATTCCGTTTTCTCATAATTCATTCCTTCCAACCAAACGCCTTGTAATATTTTCATTTTTATTCCTCACCCTATGTTACACGGAAATTTTATGAGGATAGGTGTTTCCTATTTTGAAAACATTTTGGGTAGCCCATTTTGATAACATTTTGGGTG